CAAATGATTTTTTGAGGTTATTTATCACTTAATTTGCTTTATTTGCTGCCTTAATGTTTGCGTGTTCCATTTCAAATTTGCATTGTTATTACATCCATAATGCATAATCACGCATTTATTTATGCTGAACTGTAAAAGTTCACTTGAAGAACCATATGGAATTAAAAAAAATTGTTAAATTAATCAACAAAATTTTTCAACTTCAAATAATTGGATAAAATAAAATTGCGTGTTAATAAAATTAATAAAGTATTTTGAATGGGGAATTAAAAACCTTTTTTAGAAAGTATTAATGATCATAAAAAAATTGCGTGGAGAAAAAAACATCAGGATAGAAAATTTGTTTCAAAATTAGAGACAGTCCTGTTTTATACATTAGAAATTTTATTTTGAGATAGTGTGGAGCAACTCTTTAAAAATAATCCGCGGTACAAAATAATTGACATACTTTAAAAAACATTTAGAAAAATAAAAAATTTCTAACTTAAAAATTGAAATTTTTTGCCACATTTATGAAAATTATCAACAATGCAGTAATCATCTGTTAAGAGTCTTAAGACTCAGACAGAGCCATAAGCTCAGGCAAAAAAATTCAACATGCATGAAATTGCACACACGCAGGCAGATGAAAATAATAATTAACAGCGCTTCAAAAAGCATGAAATGTAAAGTTAACATGTATTTGTTTTTTACAGCATTACGACGAAACTAACAAAAAGGTAATGTTTTATTTTGACCGTGTACCAAAAATAAAAATATCTAAATTAGTCCGAAGTGATGCAGAGCTTGATAGAAAGCGCGGAGGAAGTTGAATTATGCGAAGATTAATCAAGCCCAGTGAGGTCAGCATTCATTTAAGGAAAGCACAAATTAAATGCACACAATAAGCCAACTGATTCTAATCAGCGTTGACAACCATCTTCACGCGGAACCAGCTAATATGTTGAGGAGGCACTCTGGTTTGTTGCGACACACACGCCCAAGTATTTTGACACAATGTCCTTACATTTAACGGGAATCGTGAAACGCTCGTCTATTAGCAAAGTGGCAATTGAATGCAGCAAGCAGAAAGCTTGTTTAATGCGATGATTTTATTATCAAGTGGATATCGGACGGGCAGTCAAACTCTTTGGCTGTCTGACTCACATGCACTGGCATGTGTTTGCACTCGTTTCATTTAATTATTGTTCGTGTTTGTCTCCGTAATCAAACTTGCACGCAGTTTTAACGGCTTCAGATTTCGTGTAATTGTGTTTGAAAGCGAAGAGACGTTGAAACATTTTTGTTTTAAAACTAAGAAAAAACAATTTAATGAATAAAATTGTTTAAGTTGCATTTGGCTCATAAGGATAGATATAGAACTTGTGTGATTGTTAGTCGATATAGCAGGTTTTGCCACATTTAAACCAAAAATAATAAAAATAATAAATAAATAATAAATAAATAAAAATAAATATGGTTTAATCAAACGTGACACTTTTGAAGGATTTCATTTTCCAATCCAGCACTACGCCTAACTGAAAGTCAATCCAAATAAAAACGAAACTTCACTTAATTAATTAAATTTTTTTATTTTTTGCTGAAGTTGACGGCTCTTCTCAAAGTAGCCGGTGTAAGGAAATATGGTTTGGAGATATATGAGGAGAAGAGATAAGAGACACAAACAGATGGACGAGTGGTGGAGTTGAAAGTTTCACCCTCTTTAATACTAGAGGGGACTAATGAAGTAACAAGTTAAAAAAAAGAAGAGTTGAGTCATGAATAGAAGCATAAATATTTCAGTTATGAGCGAGAAGAAGTAAAGACATTTAGCAATGTCGTTAAGTTGAAAAAAAATATTATAATTAAACATAAAAACAAGACTACAAAAGAATATGAAATAAAATTGAAAAAGATGAAAGTCAGGTAAGATAATAATAAAAAGAATATTAATTGTTTTTTAGGGTTATAAATACCTGCTATATTAAATCTAAAGGAAGTTAGTTAAGACATAACGAATAAATATCAAAAAATTACTTTTAGACTTAGTGGAGGAACAACTCAACATAATCTAACGAGACCCAAAATTACTCAACCGAACTCAAGAGAACCTAAAGTAACTCAAATAAAATGACCAACATCTTCTATACAAAATTTTTAATGTCTTGAAACAACATTAGGCGGCACAAACATTTAATATGCATAAATATTACACACACATACACACACACCGCCACACACGCAACAACACAAGCACACACAAACACACACCACCACACACGCAACAACACAAACACACACACAACCACAGACACATGCCCAACGAAACATAAACATTAATTAAAAATTCTTCTGATGTGGCGTGATTTAAAAACAGCCGACAAAAGACGACTCAAGATTTAATTTTAAGGTCTACTCGAAAAATCATCAACAGAACGACAAGTAATCTTACACAGAATATATTCATATTGACAGATGTGAAGACAAAATTTTTATACATTAGGGATTCATTTTAAAAATTAATAACCACGTCCTATTTGTGCAGTCTGTACTAAAAAAGTGGATAAACATTTCAGAAATTCGGAGCGTGTTAGTGTCCAGTTGATGAGAGGATGAGAGGATGTTCAATCTTGAGAGGATGCTAGCAATCTGCGACACTAGGGAGCATTCATTGTTTGTATCGTCGGAATCAAGTTAGTAGAACATTGAAAACATGCAGTTCACTATTTATTTAATTATTTATTTAATTATTTATTTATTTAATTATTTATTTAATTATTTAATTATTTATTTAATTATTTAATTATTTATTTATTTATTTATTTATTTATTCATTTGTTTAATTATTTATTTAATTATTTATTTATTTATTTATTCATTTAATTATTTAGTTATTTATTTATTTAAATTCACTCCTAAACATTTTTCAGATGTTGT